CACCACTCATCTTCAAACTGCACGGCGAAATCCCTTCGGCTGGCAATGCGCTTTCTCCTGAAAGCTTCTAATCCTTCTCCCGAATGACGATCTTCAATCAACACAAAAAGGCTCACTCTCACATAGACTTTTTCTGAATATTTCTTCTATAAAAACTATGCCCCATAATATGGCTTTGAATTGCTTTTTAAAACCATAAAACACAAAAGCTCATTTTTTCTCTTCCAATGCCATCACTTCACGTAAACACATGCTACATATATAGCAATAGTACCAATCCGGATTTTTCCTTATTTTGCAAAGCACATGCAGCATATACTACTTTTCCATATGAGCACATTTTCTCCAACAAATTGTAAATCTCCTAATTTGAATATGTCAATCAAATCTTCCAAATCTTCTTTGTAATGTCCTTTCAAATATTGATTTCCATCAACAAAATCATTCCAAATTCGGAGCAATTAGCAACCAAAATTACCTCAAAATCTGAATCTACATCAATCATGAACTTGACCCTGTTTTTAAATTTTGTACAACCCAATTCCAAAACATGCCAACTAATAAAATCATAACAATCTCCCCCTTTGACATTTTTTAGCAAAACTAACGCAAGTTCCTATTTTCAATAAAAATTCAAAAACTTTCAAAAACTAGACAAATTATAAAAGTACAATGTTCTCCCCCTTTTTGACAAAAATAAGCCAAAATAAAAATAAAAATAATGAAAAAAAAACTTCTAGAAACTACTGTCGCAGAAAATGTTGCAACACCTGATAGAACACTTTTCTGCAGATCATCTTTCAGGGTCTTTGATCTCTACAAATTGCTCCCTTTGAATCTAGTCTTTGTCTTACTCCCCCTGAATTCAACACTCTCTGAATCTTGTTCTTATCACCTGTCAAATGCTTGGACCAGCCATCATTACTACACCCACAATCATTAGTACATGCTTCTAAAGAAGTATAAACTCTATGACACTTCAAATCAGATTTCCTTACCCACACGTGTCTAAGAAATTTGTCTTGCACATCAATCTTTGCTTTATGTGTCTTTCTTGAGAATGCGGAATTTGGTGGATTCATATGAGCATACCTCTCTTCAAAGCATTCAAATACTTGTAGCATCTTGGTCTTATATGGCCAGCTAAACCGCAGTAATGACATATGAGAACAAACTTTTTATGTCGTGGGGGTAAGATAATACCTTTCTTACTGAGAATAGTCTGAGATTTAAGAGCGGGTATCTCCTTCACAAACATTGTCTTGGATGTTGAACATTCACCAGTGTAGCCAAGTCCATGACAATCACAACTAGCTTTTCCTATAGAGCGAATATGATCAAGTTGTTGGTCTCCGAATCGAATTCGGATAGGGAAGCGTGGTGGTACGGGGAGGGGAGAGGCGGATCGTGTATAACAAAAATTTTCATAAAACTTTTGAGATACTCTATAGATTATATTAATTTATGCACGAATAAATTAATCTCATTAACTTATATATATCAAGAACTCAATCAGGAAAAATACCTGGAAGCCGACTCGGATGATAACTTGAGTTCTTTGACCACGAACAGTCCTTGCTCCAATCTTTGTGTTTAGAAAACCAATGTCTTCCACGTCAATTCCTAGAATCCACGAAGACGTGTGTGTGGGCATACATGAGACAAAACCGGTTACAATAAACACTCGAATTTCCACAAACACCATCGCATGCACGATGTGGAATTTTTGGAGAAAAATGTTTCCTTCACTCTATAGAGGATTTTTGGCCACCTCTAAAATTAGGGCAAAAAAAATTCCGAAAATTGTCTCAAAAAATGTCACCAAAAATTGTGTCCACAATTTTCCTCAAAAATAGTATTTACAGAGTAGAAGTCAAACTTCTAGAAAGAATCCAATCTCTATCTCCAATTTGAATTTCGAACCAAAATTCTCCTCTATCCCTTATCCCTTGTGGCCGGCCATGCTAGGGATTCCTATCCCTGTGTGTGGCGCCAATACTGGATAGGGAAGGAAGAGAAAATCATCCTTTATCATGTAGTCCAATTTTGACTCAAATTCAAATTCCAATTTAAGTCAAACTTAAATTAATTTAAATTCTAAATTGAACAACTTATCAAATAAGTTTAAATGGATAAATCTAAATGTGTTCAAATTCAAATATAAATAATAATTAATTCTCAATTAATTATTTTCAAGTGTTTAATTTT